TAAATCAGAACATCTTTTTTTTTTTTTTTTTTTTTGTGGCTGGCTCAGCCCACCCTGGGGGCAGGGCTCAGCAGCATGTGGTGCTGGAGATTAAGCCACAATCCCTGTGTTTTGCCTAAGCTTGCCTAAGCGGGCGCTTTAGACTGCTGAGCTATCTTGCTGGCCCTGTATTTTGTAGTGGGCAGTTTTATTAGTGATCATCAAATGGGACCAACAAAGTTGTTATACTTAATTGCCCCTTAGTGTTTTGTCCATTTGAAGCCATTTTTTGAATATAAAACTAATTCCTGAAACAAAGTTGAAGCATAAAACTTATTGGTAGTTTAGAGAATTTATTTTTTTGTATTTTTTGCAGGTTTTAGAGTATAAGTTGAGAGAAGCTGATGAAACGCGCACACTGTTACAGCTGGAGTGTGATACATATAAATCAGTCCTTGCAGAAACAGTAGGAAATGATTTTTAATCTACATTGTATTGTTTATCTATTAACTTCTCCTTCGTGGCCTAAATAGTTTATCTTGGCATTACACCATAAATTCTTCAAAACTGTATCTTTGTCTGTAGGAAGGAATTTTACAGAAGCTACAGAAAAGTGTGGAGGAAGAGGAAAATAAATGGAAAGTCCAGGTTGATGATTCACAAAAGACGATTAAGCAGGTACTTAAAGAAGAAGCATGTAGAGCTGGGCCCTGGGCCTCAGCACAGGTCACAGACTTCTGTGGGAGGCCACCCTCAGTCCCGGGTTCCCTGGGTCGGGCGGTGAGGCGAGGGCACAGTCCCTGTGACTGCCACCGGCTGGGACGGTAGAGGGGGCAACGTGGCAGGGTTTCTGCACCTTAGCACATGGCGAAGGGTGCTGGGGTCAAAGTTAGTTTTAAATATTGATAATTAACACATAATGTATTGTATTCAAGGAAAAGTTAATTGTGGTTTTGTGAGACCCAAATATTACTCTGCAGCCTTCGTTTTTCTCCATTTTGCTTGGATGTATTAAAGCATGTCATTTGCCGCGCCTGTGTCTTTTAAGCCAATTGTGTGCCTATCTTGGAATTACTGGTGGCACTCTTACTGTCTTTGGGGTTTAAGTAAAACTGATGATCAAAATGAAGATTCTTATTGTTAAGGTATTTGAAAATTCAGTATGCTGTTAAGGAGATGTATTTCAGAAGCTCTGAACTGTCTTTTAATTAATTGGAAATTCTAGACAGAAACCTGTGGCCTGGCTTTTTTTCTTTTTAAAAAATGTTATAATAAATGTATTAAAGAGGAAACTGGTTACTTGTATACATTAACTATAGTATATGTTTTATATGCAACCCAAGACAGTTCCTTTTCACTAAAAAAAAAAACACAAACAAAAACTGATGGGCTGCAGGTTGGACACACCTGCCTAGCTCCTCTGTGGTTTACTTGGTCTTAAAATTATTTTTAGATGCTGTCGTCAATTACATCTTCAGAGCGAGAGTTAGAGCAATTAAGAAGAGAAAATAAAGATATTGAAAATGTATGTTACTCCTCTTGTAACCTGTAAACTAATTTTTGGCATTTTGGGTTGCCCAGAGATTTGTTTTTTTAAGATTAGTTTTACCTAAGGATGTGGTCATGCACTTAATATGTTGTGTAGTTGCATGAGCTGATCCAGTTTTCTATTCTCCAGTATCCTAACTTTCCATTGTAAGGAGACATCATAAGCGGAAATGTTACATGTGTTAACTGTCCTTTGTTCTGTTCCTAGCTGAGAAGAGAACGACAACATTTGGAAATGGAACTAGAGAAGGCAGAAATTGAACGATCTACCTATGTTACAGAAGTCAGAGAGGTATTTAGAATTTTTCACCTTTGTCTCTCAAATTAAGTTTATAATGGACTGGTAGGATAATTCAGTGTAAGGTGTTTGTGGAAGAGCTTCCAAGTAGCAGACAAAACATGGTTATCCTAAGGAGATCAATCTTAAAACTCTAAACTTCATTGCAGCTGAAAGATCTGTTGACTGAATTGCAGAAAAAACTTGATGATTCATATTCTGAAGCAGTAAGACAGAATGAAGAGCTAAATTTGGTAAGAAGCTTGTTCTCCACTGGGTACCAAGTAGGCTCTGCAAACACTTGTGTTGACATGTGGAAAAAAATCCAAACTTTTTTTCCTTGCTAACCATCTATAGCTTGGCGTTTTATAAACTTTAAGGTAATCTTCTTATTCTGGGATGACTCCTAAAGACAGTCTTTCTTTTCTTCACTCATAAAATGATTCTTTTCTTAGCTCCTAACAATGGCATGTTTGGCTTCCAACTCTTTTTTTTTTTTTAAAGTTTTCTGCATTTTTGTAAAGCTTAATTTCTCAACATTATTTGTAGCAAATAAAGAAGCAAAACAAATGATTGAATTGTGAAGATTCTTTTTTCAAGTTAACTGGCCCGCTTGTCTTCTAACCTGGGAGACAGATTTTGAAGGTTAAAGACATGTGCTCTTCATTCTAGGGTAGTAGTCCAGTTCAGCTTATTTTTCTAGTCTTCCTGTAAATTATAAAAAACAAAGCACTTGTAAAGTTTGTATTAGCACAGAAAGTAGAGACCTAGAGATTAAATTTCTTATAACATAATTCCCTGCATTTCAGTTCTTAAATTTTCTAGAAATTTGTCTGATTGTTAAGAGACTTAGCTGTGAGATGAGGATGGCTATCTTGTTCCCTGTTTCAAACATGTATTACTTCCTCTAATAACTTGAAAATTGTTACAGCACAGTATTAGTAATTTAAAAAAATACTGGAATATATTGCACATTAGGAAAATTACAGTAAGTTGTTTCACTGCCCTGCCCAGCTTGGCACTTCGTTAGCACTTTACATGCACCAAGAAGAACGTTAGCTCATGTATTTGTAGCTGGCCTTGTCTGTATGGCCGTCACTCATGGGACTCAGGGCATTACGGGAAAGAGCAGGAGCACTGCACATGCCTTTGTTTGTTTTTTTAATTTTACTTTTTGGTGGAACCGGGGATTGAACTCAGGCCCTTGCGCTTGCCAGGGAAGCGCTTATTCCACTGAGCCATCTCCCCGGCAATTTTTAAAATAAAATAATTGTCTTATTTACCAATGCTTTAGTTGAACTCATGCCCACTGCAGTGTAAGTTTAGTCTTATGAACGCTTTTGCTACTCACTGCATAAATCAGAACATCTTTTTTTTTTTTTTTTTTTGCGGTACCAGGGATCGAACTCAGGACCTTGTGCTTGCTAGGCAGGCACTTACACCTCTGAGCTATCTGGCCAGCCCTTCACTGCATAAATCAGGACTATGATATGCCACTATTATAAGTCTTTACCAACCTATAATGTGTTTCTTAAAAATCTTCTCTAGGTGTTGGAAACTGGTTTTAACTTTGGGGCTCAATCAACCTTGCATCAGATATACAGGATTATGGTTGCAGCTGCATTTAGCCTAGTGCTATCTTTGTTGGGGTTTTTTGTTTGTTTGTTAGGTTTGGTTTGTTTTTTTGTTTTGTTTTGTTTTGTTTTGTTTTGTGTTTTTTTTTTTGCTCCTCTATTGCTTAACCAGATACAATTTAAGTGATACTTCCCTTTCTCTTTTGTATTAAGTTCAGAATCTTTATTTGTTCAGGTTAACTGTTAATCACAGTTTTAAGATAATTTTGCCTATTTGTATTCTTTGTTTTGGGGCTGGAAGGCTGACCTCTGTGACATAGAGGATTAAACTCAGGATTAATGAAAGAGCAGAGACTCTTTTGGTATTTAAGAGTAGTTCTCTCTCCCACTTCTACATGGCAGTGTCTTGCATTTTTCCCTCGTAGGTCCCCAGAATGGGAACGTCATGCCTATCGATTGGGGGTGGGAGGCCTGGCTGGATGCACTTGGTATTTTGAGGGTAATGTAGGGCCCTTCCCCTATGTCTAATTGAGCAGCTGTCAGAAGGAAGCACTGAGATTGCCTTTTGAGGGGGATTTCCACAGTGCTATAACTGCTAATAAAGTGATGCTGAGAGTGTATGTGTCTGACAGCCCTTATTTGTGTAGTGTAGGTCACTGATGTAGCATTGCTGTTTTTAATGAAGTCTTTATAGAGACAGTCAACCTTTAGGTTTTTTTCATCATACTGGATTTATAATCTTCTGTTTAGTGTCTTAAAATATTATATAAATGAAACTTTTTAATTGAGCTATATAGGTTATGAAGGCCTTTAAAAATAGTGAAATATCTATTTGCCTTTTAGTTTGGAATATCTTCAGTAAGTACTTTATTGATAGTGATTCTTTTAAAGGCTGCTGAAATTTGATGGTTTTGTTTTTGGATTTGCAGTTTTCTAATCTAAACTCTAGTTCATTTCTATAGCTTTTCTTCTGTTTAGCTCTACAGATGGAAACATCTGGTGCAACGTATTGGCTTATCCACTGTGCATAACTGTTAGCAATCCCATTTTTTGTTTTCATTCTTTGGTCCTTAGAGTTATCAGAGTAATCAAGGAGGAGTACAAAGTAACTGGTATTTTTTATTTTTACAGTTGAAGACACAGTTAAATGAAACACACACAAAACTTAAAACTGAACAGAGTGAAAGACAGAAGGTAGCAGGTGATTTGCATAAGGTAAGAGGCATGCAGTGTCAGGAGCCTGTGTTGTCCTTGTCTCTTAGCCCGCTGTCAGTTCCGGTCTTGTATAAATGTAAGGCGAAAGATTTATACGATATGAAGAGAAACCAGAGTATGTATCCCTTATAAATGTAAGCTGTCTGTTGTGTAGTTGCTTTTTTGGAACTAAGCTTTAATGTGTTTTTTTTATTTTTTCAAAATTCACTTCACACATATAAAATGTTAAATTGAATTTCAGTAATCTAAATGTGTTTACTTTTTTGTAGTTATTTAGAAAGTGCATTTCTGTTGATCATTTTAAATGTTAAGTTTCTGGTGTTTCCAAAGTTTCTTTGATGTATTTCTTTGCACAAGTATATTTTTTCTTAATCTCTCATAGATGATTTTTTTTTTTTTACTTAGATGATTTTTTAAGACTATATTTCTTTGTGTTAGGCTGACATTTCATTGTAGTTCTAAACTTGGAAGATACTTTTAATTGTATGATTCATGCAAGCTTTTGTCAGAGGTACTTTTGAGCTATAGTAGTATTTATGGGAGATAACAGTCATTAGCAAAATAAATATGTCACTTTCTTGGAACTGAAGAATCAAGGGGTGCACATCTAAAATTTTGATAGTTATTTTAAACAGCCCCAAAATCCAGTAGTGATTCTATATTCCTCCCAGTGTGGTCTGAGAGATTCTGTTGCCAGCACCCCCACCATATTAGAAACTCCCAAACATTTAGATATTTGGTATTCTAGCCAGGGCGATGGCTCAGTGACACAATGCTTGCCTGACAAGTACCAGGGCTTGGGTTCAACCCCTGGCACAAATAAATAATTGGTATTCTAATAGATTTTTTGAAAGTATCTTATTTAAAATCTGTGTCACCCTTTAAAATATGAGATATTTTGTTAATTACGTTTGCTTATGATCTGTAAAAGTCTAGGAATTGCAAGTGCTTTGGTTGTTTATAATATAGATAAAATGTGAATTTAACGAGTTTGGTTTAGAGGAGAAACTGATGCATAATACACTGCCAAGGCTGAACTCTATCCAAGTAGATAGGTTATTTTAATGTGTGACTTCTGGAGGAAAATAGGAAGCAGGCAGTTTTAGCTTGGCAATGTAGTTTCTCAAAATCCTTTCAAAATATTAAACAGATGCTGGTGGGGTAGATGGATAGTGTTGTATTATGAGACCTAAAATCTGATGACATGCAGCCATTACTTGCCTGTACCTGTGTAATAGAAGTGCTATGAAACACTTGATTGGAAATGCACAAAATATCTGTTGACTGCAAAAGCCGTGGACTTTGTGAAATGAAGATAAAACAGCATGTTTATATTTGCATAAACATGACCATATTTAAAGAATAAGCCCATTTACATGAGATTTCCTGGCAGTTTCTCATAGCACATATTGCATACACAGGGAGATCTAGATGAGGAGCCAGCAAACCTGGACAGTGTCAGTGTTTGGGGGCCACATGCAGGCTCTTGAATATTCTTGTGTTTCATGTTCTAAAATGTTTAAAAACAGGGGCTGGTGAGATGGCTCAGTGGTCTAAAGCACCTACTTAGAACAAGCTTAGCAAAGCACAGGGACCGCGGTTCAATCCCCCAGCACCACATGCCAG